AAACCGCAATAAATAATTGTGTTTGCGATCGCGATTGCTAAAGCCATCCAATTTATCATGAATCTGAGTTTGTATCAGGCTCAAATTTATAAATTGACTAGCTTTAGCAATAGCTGTTGCAACCACAATAATTAAACAAAAAAATTGAACCATAGGATTTACAAAATTATGCAAACTGCAATAAAATGTGAACGATAACAGGAGAAACTGTCCAAATATAGATATGATTTTCATTCTCCATTACACAGATCACTCATTTGTATCGACCAGTCAAAATATCACTATGGGATTAGTCAACCAATCAAATTACGAAATTTATAAAAAGACAAAACTATGGGATTCAAGGGAATTCAAAAAATATATTGTAAAGCAAAGTGAGAGCTTTATGTTTGTTTAACCATTTTCAATTCATAGAAAAGATAAGTCAAGCGAGCCTTCCAAAATTATATTGTAAAATAATATAAAAATATTTTTCATCAATTGTGTAATAATTTTGTGGCGTATCAATAGTTCAAAGAATCGATCTGATTTCTCTTATTTCTCTTTTTTTTTTGATCTGCAAATTTCATATTTTTTTGCAAACCGCAATAACTTATTATTATTACTCAAGTTTTTTTTTTTTATTAGTAATGCATACTGAAGATTGGCCAGGCTTGTCAAGACCCAGTTTATGAGCCATCTGACGGTTTTCATCAGACAATAGGCCAGCTTTCCCCGCGAGATGCCCAACCCAGTTACCTCGCAGATGTTGGTCACAATATCGTCATACGTCAGGGTGTAATGTAGATTTCGTATAACTCAGACCTTAGCTGCCCCTTTTGCTAGGGTACATGTCCTATCCATGTATTCACCTAGACTTCAGTAACTTTACGCCATAGCTTGACCTATGCACTTGGGGTCAGGGCTAACCATTGAACTCTTGCAACTAACTAGTACCAGTATCGATCTAGTATATATATTACTATATATCTTGGGTCACTCCCCGTGGTGTTGCAGTTCTCAGATCTATAACTTCCTAATTAGTCGCCTATTACCTACTTTTTGCCCTTATTAGGTTCACTGCGAACCCTGGTACCTGCATTCGGACCATCTTCTTACCCAGATTCTTTATCGGTCTCTCCCTTACTTACAGCCGGCAACCTGGAAGAGTCAGTTTGTCCAGGCTTTAGGTACCTGAAGGATGCTCTCCTCTTGGTACATACTTTCAAAGCGTATGTCCTTTTTCTTTGGTGTGACAGAACCTGGCGAATCGGCTGGTGTGTTCTCCGCCATTAGGACCTGGTCGTTCAGTTTTCTGATCTCAGGCCCCAGTTCGAATTTAGCCTTCTTGTGATACTATTGAAGATCACTGCTACTTCCTAACTCGGATTTATTGCGCCATTGCTTCCATTACTAGATGGTGTGACTGAAGTTACAGATTAGATTCAACCGATAGCATAGCTATCAACTGAACACAAATCTATTTTTCAAATATTGTCATCTGTGGGATTTGAACTCTAAACCTGCCACTTGGAGAGGATGACGACTAGACCACTACACTAAGTCGCCACACCTCACTCAAGTTTTTTTTAATTTAAATAGTTTTTTTTAAAAAATATATATTATTACAGTTTGCACAGCTTTTGTGACTCTTATGATTACTTTTTCTTATGATTAAATGATTGTGATTGCTATCACAATTGTTAAAGCTAGTCAATTTATCATAAATTCGAACTTGATACAAACTCAGATTCATGATAAATTGGCTGCTTTAGCAATAGTAATCACAATTCCAATCATTTATTCATAAAAAAATTAACCATAGAGGTCACAAAATTATGCAAACCACAATAATTTAAAATATTTTTTATTAAATTATGATTTGATTGTTTTTTTACTTAAACGGTAATTTTTATAACTTAGATTTTTTTAATTTTTTTTATAATTGTTTTTAAATAGTGGTAGTGTTGTAGTGAAATTAATGAAAAAGTGTTTAGAAAAGGATAATGTTGGAAAAGAGATGTCAGAGAAGGGTAGTGCCAGGGAAGAATAATGTTTAGAAAGAATAGTGTCTGGAAAGAGTGATGCCGGGAAAGGGGAAAGGGGGTGTTGGGAAGGGTGGGGTCGGAGAAGGATAGTGCTTAGAAAGAGGGTGTCAGGGAAGAATGATTGAAAAAATGTGGTGTTAGAGAAGAGTAATGTTGGAGAAAGGTGATTTTGGGGAAAGTGGTATCGGGAAAGAATAGTGAACTGTTAGAATGATAATAATGCTTTATTTACTGCATTAATTGTTCTATGCTACATAGATGATTGATTGTTAAAATTTATATGACTGCTGTCTATACATGCCATAGAAATTAGTTTCAGCTATGCTGAAAATATTTACAGCTGTTTTCATAAATTCTGGGACACTCTAAAAAAAATTTGCCGAATTCTATTCGGCTGAATTCGATAAGCTATTTATCTCGGTGCTATATAGTATAAATACATAATACATATATATTTGTTACTAAAAATTTTCAAAAATATTTATTGAAAAATTAGTTAAAAGAACTTAGAAGATTTAAGTTAGAGTAATTGCTAAACGTTTGGGGTATTAACAGGTCTTCTGTGGGTCAAGTTCTCAAGCAATTTCAAAGGTATGATAGTGTTGATGAATTACCATCATTTTAAATAAATATTATACATACAGTGTCTGACAAAAGTTTCTCTGCACCTATATTTTCTCATGAAAAGGTGCTACAATCTTGAAACTTTCAAAAAAGTTAGTATCTACATAGTTTAGATCGTGTATGTGTTTTGAAGATTTTATAATTGCAAGAAAAAAATTTGGATGAGAGCTAAAGTTTGGACATTTTTCGTCTCTAAAAAATTAAAAAATTAAATTAATTCAAATATATTGTTAAGGCTTAAAGCTAAAACATTTAAAAATTAATATATTAAAATTCAATGATTTCTGTAATAGTGGAAAAAAATTTGACTCAATTTGATGAGATAGTTATTGAGAAATTAATTTTTAAAGTTTTGAGGTTTATTTTTGATTTGTTGATACCTAACTCTTTTTGTATTGCAAATGTTTTTTACTAATATCTTGTATTTCAACAGTCCAAATTTGATGATTTTGATATCATTAGAATTGTCTCATCGAACAATTCGAATAATACCAAAATCATTAAATTTGGATTACTAGATATTTAAATAGTTTCAATTGAAAAAACTATTACTTTGTAGTTTTTAAAAATAAAAATAAAATTTTAAAAATTAATTTCTCAACAATTATCTCATCAAATTGAGCCAAATTTTTATGACCACAACAGAAATCAATGAATATTAATATACTAATTTTTTTAAAATTTTAACTTTAAGTCTTAACAATATATTAATTTTTCTTTAATTTCAATTAATTTTTTTATTTTTTAAAAAAAAAGCACCCAACTTTAGCTCTCATGCGAACTTTTTTTTAGTGATTAAAAAATCTTCAAAAAATGCACACGATCTAAACTATATATGTACAAATTTTTGTAAAAGTTTCAAGGCCATAGCACTTCTCTACGAGGAGATATAGATGCGGGAAAACTTTTGTTAAGCACTGTACTTTGAACTTTATTATAATTCTTAAAACATTGTCACATTTTTTAAACCCCTAAGGGCTGTGACATTTATTACGTAATATTTTAGAGGGTGGGGGTCGAGCATATATTATATCAATGTTTTACGTTATACAAAGAAATTATATAATTTCTAAATTGGCTAATCATATAGATCTTATGTGGGGGAGGGAAGTAGCCCTTATAGTAAATAGATATTACATAATAAATATCAGAGCCCTAATCGTATTTAAATTTTTTTATTAGTGCCTATTCATGTAATACTATATAGAGTGTTATGTATTAAAAAGGCAAAATTTCAAATAAACAAGTTTGCTATACTATAAGTTACCAAAGATAATTAAAGATTCACAAACAGGAATTGAAGTTTATATGTTTATTAAGAAAGTCCAACTTATATTCAAAACATTTTTAGTTAATTGGCAAGAACAATTTTTAACATAAATTTTGTATTATACATATTGGATAAGGCAAAAAAAAAAAAATTGTTAAAATAGTTGATATTGCGAATGTAATATTATGTTGATTGAACAATGTGCTGTAATAATAATAACTCAATAATTTTTTATATTCTGATCATGCATTAATCATACCAAAATCTAGCTGTAAACATCAATTTTTTGGCAATTCAAAACAAATGCTGAAATCTAAAACATATGCCATTATCTAATTTATTGAGGCCTAAGAATTAGCAAAAAATTAAAAACTAGAACCTGAGCAACGCCGGGTCCTACACGCTAGTTTTTTTCAATAAACCATGTATCTTGGAACCCTGTGATTCGATTTGGACAATTTTTGTACTATTTGAATCATCTCACTTAGACAATTCAAATAATATTTAAATTATCTAAATTGAATTGCAGAGTCACGAGATATACAATATACAAAAATAGATTTGATTACAGAAAACACCTTATATCTCTAGATCCTGTAATCCAATTTGGATAATTTTAGCACTATTAGATTCATCTTAGTGGTGATACCAAAATTATCCAAATTGGATCACAGGATCATGAGATACACAATTCTATGAAAATATATTTGATCTCAAAAAATATATCGTTTATCTCAGAATATTGTGATCTAATTCAGCTAATTTTGGTACAGTTTTGATACTATTAGAATTATCTTAGTGAGATGATTCAAATGATACCAAAATTATTCAAATTGGATCATGGGATCATAAGATATTATGAAATATTATAATTTACTGAATTAGGGATGAACCACAGAATTAGGTACCATCATCTTACTAATGTTTCTGAAAGTTTCAAGGTCGTAGCACCTCTCTATAAGAAGATATAGGTGCAGGAAACTTTTGTCAGGCACTGTATAATACTCAAATAAATTCAATTAATTACAACTAATACCTTAGGCCTTTTATTACCTCTGTACAATGCAGGTACAATCTTACTACTAATAGAATAAAAATGATTCTCTCAAAGACAGCCTGAGTTTCAAAATCTCTTTCATTAAAATTAGTTGGCACAAACAATACCATATTGATTTTATTATCTTCACGACCAATAGGATATTCACTGACAGCCCATACAACAATTAAGTTACTTTCTTCTTTTATAGTTTGACGAACCAATTTAATTCTCACAAACGTATCTGCATAACACGACATATTGACACCTCATGAAAAAAAATAAAAAAAATAAAAAACAAACTCAAACTAAAAAAAAAATTAATAATTGTGTATATAACACAATATAACACAATAATAATAAAGAAATAATACAATAAATAACATGATGATTAAATATAAAGAATATATAAATATATATATATATATAGAAAGATAAGAAAAATAGTATATAATAAAAAATAAAAAAAAACTTTAAAAGAAGAAAAAAATACAACCATTTATATAATTACTATAAAAACCAACTTTACAAAAAAGCTAACCAAATACTAACATCAGCTTAAAATATTAAAATTATTACAAAATTTCTAACAAAAAATATATATATATATATTGAAATACCAAATCAAAAAAACAATTAAACCATAAAAATAACAAAATACTTTCAATACCATGTGAATTAGATCTATTATATTAACCAAAATAGACTTAAAACACCTATACAAACAAATCATAGTCATAAGAAATTTTTTGAAACTACTATACTTACTAAATTTACTATGCTAAACAAATAAATGATGCAAAATTATTAAATTACTAAACAAATATCAAGTTCTAATAAAATCGAATATTATATCATAACAACAAATTTATAAAAAGCAAACCAAAAATAACAACAGTAAAATGACAAAACACTAAACAACTCAACTTAACTCTTTACTTACATTTCATACAAAATATTCACACGCCAATTACATCATTGGTTGATCGCATATTTATAACTTTCAATAAACTACTAATAATATTAAATTTAATATCAATTAATTACGACATTATTAAAAACGGGTATATACAATAAATTTGTAATAAACTTAAGCAACGCAAGCAGTAATAAACAAATAACTTATTAGTAATCACAATTAATCAACAACTTCAAATTATAATTTGAACGTTCTAACCTAACTCCAACAAAAAAAACTTATAATATAAAAACTAATAAAAACTACTCATAATAAAAACATAATTATGCTTAACTTACCCAATCCAATCCCAACAAATCACATTATAAACTACAATTCTCAATAATATAAAAATATAACACTTCAATTTTTTTATTACACCACTAAAATAATAAACAATCAAAAAACTAAAAAAATATTATTTCAAATTCATAACAAAATAACAAGATATAAAACCCAAAATGTAAATAACCAAACCTAATAATCAATGAAACAACAATAAAAAAAAAGGTGAATTTACAAATAAGTGCCCAAAAAGGTAAAATAATTACATATAAGTGCCCTATTTTAGAAAACTTTATTATATCTTATGATACAGTGACCGAAATTTAATAGTTTGGATACCATTCGAATCGTCTTGTCAAGACGAATCGGATGGTAGCAAAATTGCTAAATTTAAATTACTGAATTACTAGTTATTCAACATTTTCTAAAATCTGTTTAGTTCGTGATATCTTATTAACCAGTAATTTAAATTTAGCGATTTTGGTACCATTCGATCTGTCTTGATGAGACGATTCGAATGGTATCCAAACCATTAAATTTTGTTCACTGTATCATAAGATATAGTAAACTTTTCTAAAATAGAGCACTTATATGTAATTATTTTACTTTTTTGGGCACTTATTTGTAAATTCCCCCCAAAAAATAATAATTACAAATTATAAAATAAAAATAAAAAAAAAATTAAATAAACATTACAAATACAAAAAAAAACAAAAATTAATAGGCAATAAACACGATGTGAGACCGGAAACGTGACCTGATGGCAGGCACGTGCCTTCGTGACCCGGGAACTCCAAATTGGGGTTTACTGGCAGAATTCCAGAAATTCCCGGAATTACGAGAATTAGGGAAATTCAGTGAATTTCTAGAATTAGGCGAATAACGGGAATAAGGTGAATTTCAATAATTACAATAATTACAGTAATAAGGGGAATTCTGGGAAAACGGCGTATTTTGTATGTAAAAATAGATAGTGAGTTAATTATAAATAAAGGCCTTCTGGTCCTTCGAAGAGTTAGTCAGTTCCAGTTTGACCTAAATAATAAAGCATCTAAATCACATAAACATGCACTACTAACTACATACATTCGTTTATTAACCACTCGTCCAAATCTAACACGTCTCTTTCGCGTTTGTCCTCATGATTCTGTCGGTCAGTGACCCGATTGCTGCGAAACATTGACCGACCGATTTCAGTCTTCTCAACGAAATAAACCAATAACAACCATTTAAAAAACTAAATAAATAATCAAAAAATCAAATCCTAAAATAAAAAATAAATCTAAAAGAAGATGGGTGGCGCGTAAGCGCCACCGTCGCACCAGTACTTAAATCAAGTACTTAGCAAGTACTTGGTTATACTTTGTGATGTTAGGCAGTTTGTTTAGTTCTGGTAAACAAATGACGTCATGATATGTTTATCATGTGATTATCAATCACGGGTTCAG